GTGCAGCACCTCCTGGTAGGCAGCTGCCAGCTCCTGGCGCAGCCCCAGCAGCCTGGCGTGGGGGTTGTGCAGGGCCTCCATCGTCTGGGCCACCACGCCCCGACCCACCGCCTCATTGATGGCCAACACCGCGGCGTGGACTGGAGGGGGAAGAGGAGGAGTGAGTTGGGACACGGAGGGGCACAATGGACCATCTGCTTTACCCCTGCCTGCAGTGGGACCCGCCGTGCCACGGCGATGGGAGCCCACCCTGTTCACAAGGCCAGCTGCAGTCCCCAGCAGCAGGGAAGTCTGTGTCTCACAGCAAGCCCAGGGAATGCACAACCCCAGCTGCTGCTGCCTAGCGAGGGCTGTGCCAGCACCTGCAGCCTTGTGCAGGCTGAAAGAGAACTACCAGATGCCTCCCACTTCATCCCAGCGCACCATCACCTCCCGGGGCACCCTCTCCCAGTTTGCTGGCCCCAGATTTGGCATTCAGTGGCTGGGCCAAGATCCTGCTACAGACTGACACTCAGCCCCACGTTCCCCACCAGGCACCCATCACCTGCTGCTTCATCCACTGAGAGCTCGTTGGCCAAAATGCCTCCAATCTTGCTGAAGGCAGGCAGCTGCAGCCCGTACTTCTCCAGCTCCCGCTTCATGTTGTTGATCTCCTCCTCTGGAGCAGAGCAGAGGCAGCACTGCTCAGCACCAGCCCCATAGCCCAGCAGTGGAGCAGGGGCAGCCAGCAGAGCCCCCACTGCCCTGCCAGACCAAGAGGGGTGCAGAAAACCCCCACACTGGGGTGAGCATCCCTGAGGCAGATTTGGCAAGACGCATCCAAGACTCTCACTCCGCACATCCCTCCTGCCACGGGACCCCGGAGCATCGGTGCCAAACCCCCCTCAGCAAGTCCCAGCCCAGGTCTCCCTGCACAGTGCCATACCTGTGAAGTTCACCTTCCCATACAAGTCCTGGATCGGAGGAGCCAGCCCCAGCTTGAAGAGGTAAAAGCTAAAATACAAACCCACGTGGTGACATCACCTGCTTCTCCCTCCTGACGCTTCTGTGTCACCTGAGGCTGACGGGTGACACCACCAAAGGGCTCATGAGCATGAACATGTTCCATGAGAACCAGGCCAGGGCACCCACCTGAGTGCATGGATGCAGTAGACCACGCGGGGCATGTTCTTCTTGTCATAGATGTCAGTGGTCTCCGGGTGGAAGATCTGCCATCAAGACCAGAGACACGTCAGGGGCAATGGCATTGAGAGTCCCCTGGTGTTAAAGAGTGGGGGGCAAAGACAAAGCACCCCCCAGGACTGGCACAAGGCAAAGGCCAGCGTGTCCCTTGGCCTTTGGGAGGGGAGATGTTACCGAGGGAAGCCCCACGTGGCTCATGGCATCACGCCAGTAGTTGATGTTATCCGTGTGCCGAAAGTGAAGCCCAGCTGTCTGGAAGAGAGGAGCTGAGGTCAGGCTGAACCCCACTTTCTCCCATGCCTGGGGTCCCCCTTGCCCCCAGACCAACCCAGCCGAGGCAGGAGGTTAAAGACAGAGGGGCACAGAGCTCAGGGACCCCATTGCAGCCACCTGCTACAGAACAGTCCCTCAGGGCCTGCTGCCAGCGAGTCCCTCCTCACTCTGCACTCACCAGCAAGGGAAAGGTTTGGGGCTACACCCCAAGGGGTACTACACCTTCCCTCTGGTGCCACAGCCTTACCTTGTACCGTGTCTGCTCAGGGTCATAGATCTTCTTCAGTGGGACAATGGCAGGGGCAAAGCAGTGGCCCAGTTTGGCCAGGAGGACCCCGTTGCGCAGAGTCTCCTCCAGCTCCGTGGGTGGGGGCAGCCCCTCGCCCAGACACGCCTCCATCCAGCTGGCAGGGCAGGGACAGGGCACGTCACTGACCCCCAGCACCCCACCCAGCAGAAAAGCACCCAAAGGACATCCCCCCCCAAACCCCATTCCAATAAATCCTCCCTGGCAGGGGAGCTCAGCCCTCAGGATTTTGCTGCTGGGTGGTTTTCAGTTTGGGTGTTGGGCTGAGTGTCCTCCCACAAAAAACACAACCCCCCAGCCAACTTTCAGGAGCCATAAAACCGCAGGACCCAAGCAGCATTTTGAAGCCACTCCCCACCCATTCTCCCTGTCCCTCCCCTTAACACCCCTTTTCCCCCCAAATCCAAGCTCGAGGATCTCCCCAAGTGCAGCCCCACCGTTTGGCTTCCTCCAGGTGACACAGGTACTGGTAGGCAACGTTCTGCCTCCTCTGCTCGTCCATCTCATCGGCAGTCAGGCGCTCACCTGGGCAGAAGGGGGATATCCCATCAGAGCCCCCTGCTCTGAGGTTTTTTGAAGCTCCCATGGCCACTGAAACTAAGATTTGGGAAAGGGAGGCAGGCTTTGGGTGCAGTAGCCTCCCACAGCCCTCGTGGGAGTGGCACCAACGTCACCAGCCAGGCCCTTCTGGCAGTGGGAGGAAAGTTTCCAATTTCCCTTTTTCCCAAATAACGGCCATGGGAGCTGGCACTGGAGTGGGGGAGGGCACGGATCGAGCATCCCGGGAGGAGGTGGGGAACACAGCTACAGGTTTAGAGTCCTTTTACACTGCTGCTCGTGCTGGAGGCACTCATGACTTCTGGGGGGCACCCAGCTGCCTCCCAACAAACCATTCCTCAAAAGATGTCCCCCCCAGTTTGTCCCCGTGGGCCTGGCACCTTGCCACTGCAGTCCCTCTACCCACATGCAGACCTGCCTGTTCCCCCTCAACCCCCTGCACCAAATCCGACCGCTCCCCCAGCCCTCTGCACACCCAGAGTCCCTGTCCCCCCGTGCACCCCACCTGTCCCCACAGCCCCCCAGGCTTAGCTGTGCCCTCACACCGCCCCACACCCGTCTGTTCCCCAATCCCCACACCCCAGACCCGTCTGTTCCCCATCCCCACACCCCAGACCCGTCTGTTCCCCAATCCCGGTACCCCAGACCCGTCTGTTCCCATCCCCGCACCCCAGACCCGTCTGTTCCCCATCCCCGCACCCCAGACCCGTCTGTTCCCCAATCCCGGCACCCCAGACCCGTCTGTTCCCCAATCCCCACACCCCAGACCCGTCTGTTCCCCAATCCCCGCACCCCAGACCCGTCTGTTCCCCAATCCCGGTACCCCAGACCCGTCTGTTCCCCAATCCCGGTACCCCAGACCCGTTTGTCCCCAATCCCGGTACCCCAGACCCGTCTGTTCCCCAATCCCGGTACCCCAGACCCGTCTGTTCCCCAATCCCGGTACCCCAGACCCGTCTGTTCCCCAATCCCGGCACCCCAAACCCGTCTGTCCCCATCCCCGCACCCCCGGACTTACCTGTCCTCCCCCCGCTCGCTGCACCCCAGACTTGTCCCCCTCCCGTCCCCCCGGGCGTGCCCGCTGCCTTCCTCCTCCTGCCCCCCAGCCGTGCCCGCAGCCCCGGTGCCGGTGCCGGTGCCGGTGCCGGTGCCGGTGCCGGTGCCGGTCACTCACAGCGCCCCGGCCCCGCTCCCTCCATGGCCGCGGCGGCTCCGCCGGCTCCGCCCGCGGTTTGAATCTCCCGCCGCACACGTGGCTCCGCGCGGGGGCTGCCGGGCGGGACCCGGGACAGCGGGACCGGGACAGCGGGACCGGGACAGAGGGACCGAGGGACAGAGGGACCGAGGGACACCGGGACAGAGGGACAGTGGGACCGAGGGACAGCAGGACCGAGGAACCGAGGGACACCGGGACAGAGGGACTGGGACACCGGGACAGCGGGACAGAGTGACACCGGGACAGAGGGACAGAAGGACCAAGGGACAGCGGGACCGAGGGACAGCAGGACACCGGGACAGCGGGACAGAGGGACCGAGGGACAGCGGGACAGAGGGACCGGGACAGAGGAACAGCGGGACACCGGGACAGCGGGACCGAGGGACAGAGTGACCGGGACAGAGGGACCGAGGGACAGCGGGACAGAGGGACCGAGGGACAGAAGGACCAAGGAACAGCGGGACAGAGGGACTGGAACCCGGGACTGCGGGACAGCGGGACACTGGGACACCGGGGAGCGGCGGCACCGGGACAGAGGGACACCAGGACCCCAAGACCCCCGGACACCGGGACACCGGGGAGCGGTGGCACTGGGATCCCGGGAAACCAGGACACCGAGGAGTAGCAGCACTGGGATCCCGGGGCACCGGGACCCCGGGACAGTGGAGAGCGGCCGCACTGGGACGCCTGGGGGGAAGAGCATGGGACACACTGGGGATCCCCGGGAGTACCGGGGGTGCGGGGAGGTGACTCCGAGAGAGCGAGGGGAGCCTCGGGTTGCAGGAGGAACCTTGGGGTGCAGGGGCTGGGCACACACCGGGGTGCAGGGCCAAGCGACGGCTGCTGGGGACTCCACGGGCTGTGCCAAGGGGTCAGCGCTGTGCCAGACCAAGGACGTGCCACCCGGCCCCGGGGTGCCCTGTACCCTCCCTGCTCTGAGCCCATCCATCAACCTGCTCCAAAGCATGAACCTGCCCCCGCATGGAACAAGCCCCCAGCACCTGCCATGAATTGTGACAGCAAGGAGCCGGTTGTGCCATCCATTACATGGCTGTCCTGTCCACCACACAGCTTTCCCATCCATCCATCCATCCATCCGTCCGTCCGTCCGTCCGTCCATCCATCCATCCATCCATCCATCCATCCATCCATCCATCCCAGGGCTCACGCTGGCACTGCTGCACCGAGTTGCCATGGCACTGCACACCAGCCTGGTGACAGGGCTGAAACTGGAGCCCGCGGGGCCATTGTGGGATGTGCTTTCCCAGGAGCAGGCCTGGCTTTGTCCCAGCCTGTGCCACCACCTGCCACGCTCCTGTCTCAGAACCTGGCCGTCTGTCAGCAGGGGCTGTGACCCGCTCCAGGCACCTTTCCAGGCAGCCCAAGCACGGAGGCACCTCAGACATCCTCCAGCCCCGCAGCAGAGCCGGGGCTCGTGGCAGCAGCGCGGCCGCAGCGGCGGGGATGCCTCGTCTCTCTGCTCCCCGCTCTCGGCACCCTTTGCACCTGAAGAGCAAACAGTAAGTGTGTGCAACCCATTATTCTGCCTCCCAAAAAGGCACCCCAGCCACTCCCACTCCGTGCTGTCCCTCCTCCTCCCTCAGTGACCTCCTTCCTCTGTCGTGGCCACCAAGGCTTGTGGGGTCCACTTTTTCCTTCCTGAAACTTAACAGCAAACAGCCTACAAGACATC